AATTCACACTATCGATTAGGTACCTCTTGGTTCGCGTACGTTTTCGAAAGTAGCGAGAACTTTACTTGGTAAACTATTTTAAATACACGAACGTTACGCGCGCGTAACATTCATTAAAACGACACGAGTTGAGCCATCTTGAGAACGAAAGACGAATACGAGACGCTGAACGCGAGGGGGTAATTGCGCTTCTAACCGATATCCATTGCTTCCGTTCCAGATGGGTTCGTCTGCGATCGGCACGATGGGGACCGTGGTCGTTGGCGTCACGCTGTTAGCTTTCGTCACCGTCGCTCACGCTGCTCTAGGTAAGTACATCCGTACATTTTATCCTCTAGAATATAACGAGATGTTTTAGAACCACCTGTAAACATGTAATTCCAGTTACGCTGTTCTTTGCAACGTTTTCAAAGGAATCGCATTCACGTTTCAGCTAGGACAGCGTTCGAGAAGCTGACAGACTACGATTACCGCGGAACGACGTACTACAGTGTAAGGAACCTGTCTTTATACGAGTGTCAGGGTTGGTGCCGCGAAGAGGCCGAGTGTCAGGCGGCGGCGTTCTCGTTCGTCGTAAATCCTTTGGCGCCGATGCAAGACACCCTGTGCCAGCTGCAGAACGAGACAGCGGCAACGAATCCAGCGGCACAGCCGCAGAGAGCCGCGAACATGTACTACATGACGAAGCTGCAGATCAGATCAGGTGAGCAGACCCGACCGAGAACATGCTTCGAAACTTTGTAACGCGAGATCGATCGAACAACCGTGCTACATAGTCTATGGAACTGCCGATAAACGCCATTAGGTGCTTCTTTCTCGAGGAGAGAGCCCATAACGATCATGCACAAGATTCAACCTTGAGAAGTTAAAATTGCGAGCCACCAGCAAGACTGGGTTTAATGAATGTTAGTAGTTAGCCTTTGGCTAACCTTTTATTTCATACCGAGACATAGATAAGAAAATAAAAGAGACTAGCTAACGAATTAGAGAAAAATCCTGCAATTTAAGCGACAAAAGGAAACAGGCAGAAAAGATGAAATCCGAGTTTAAGCGCTAGTAGCAAAGTCGTAGGACGTGCGAAGGGAGCAGGTAGACGTACAAATAATTACACGTTGGTAGCAACGACGAGTGGTTATTATTAATATTATTATTAGTATATCCTCGATATCGAATATAATATACATTCAATCGCGTTGCATTTTAGCCTCAGTATCGTGGAAACAATTTGACATTTCTGTATACTCATTGTCAATCTTTTCCAAATCTCAATTTTTCTTTGTCATAATCTGATATAATCTAACCAATGGCGGCATGTGACTTCTATTGAAATCGTGTGGATGCAACTTTCGAAATATATATACACACTATAAATACAAAACTTTTTATTACTTTTTAAAAAAAATAGGAGAATTATATAGAATTGATGGTGTAGTTCCGCCTATACACGAGCCGCCATTGAATCTAACGTAAAGAGAGGAATTAAAAAAAGATCAAAATTTATGTATTTATGTAAATTCATGTAAATTTATGTACATGTATATACAGATATATTTAGCAGTACATTGTCACAGTCTCCCTTTACTAAATATAGACACAAAAAATACTACGTAAGATAACAATGCGTAATCGCAGCCTGTTCTATAAAATAGAAGTTTTTCATCCTTATAAAAAAATATTTCTTGTAAATTAATGAAATTGATATATTGTATTTCTTGTTAATTAAAGAAATTAAAGAATATTGACATATCTGATAAAAAGCTTATAGAATCATTATTTAAAAAATGATTATTTAATCTTTGATATTTTTAAATACAAAACACATCTATTACATGAGCTAAAACTCCTATTGAAAAAAGAAAAAACTATTAGATTGTTTAAAAAACCCTATCATCGTCTAGTACGATTTCTTATAAAATTGCTTTGCTACAAAGTACAATTCCATTATTTTTTTTAAATGGAACTCTGACTTTCTTTTCGACGAATTTCAATATCGAAAAAATATTAATCTTAATAGTTAATTTCTCAAAATATCTTAAATTTTATACAAGATACGGAATTATATTGTGGTTATTTTCTGCAATAATAAAAGAATTTAAATAGATATCATAACATGATATTCGTTTTATAAATATACGAACCAATAATAGTTTAATAATGTTAAGAAATATTAATGTAAATTTCTCCAAATTGGAACAGAACGATTATTAAAGTTGTTCAATTGTATAAATAAAAGTATAAATTTTATTTAAAAAATCATCAATGATTTTAAAATGTAACAAAAATGACTTTGAGAAAAATTCTTCTACCATCAGACGTATCCTTTAAACTAGTGCAACTCTTTGTTCTAAATATCTTTTTCATTACACTAAAAATTATTGTACATATATTGATTTTTTCATAAATGCCTTGCATGGAATTTGAAGTATCTTAAGAAATATTAATGTTTTCGACATCAAGCTCTAATTCTTTTTCATTCGGAGTAACACGAGGAATCAGTTCATGGAAAAAATCGTAGATTTATTTAAAAAACAAATGCAATTGCATTTTATAAGTTGCATTACACGACCATAAAATTTCTTAAAAAATGTGAAATTTTTTTTTAGAATATTTTTACTATCTTCAACGGGAACAGAGTTATAGCTTGGCGTCTCAGTTACTAACAAATTTTTCTAAAGAAATCTCTAACAAGAAATTTCTAAAACTATGCATATTGGTATATTAGCCTCCTATAATAAATATAGCTTTTAAAAGTAAAAGCTATATAGTATATATATATATATA